ATGCGCGGAAAACTATTTAAATCAAAAGCAAACCTAAACTTAACGAAACAAAAAAAAAAAAAACAAATATGTATATAAATTTGTTATTGTTGGAATAAAATTTCAATTTGTATTTACTTATTGCATACTAATCATTCGTATAGATTAAAAGAGGTCTGTATTATTTTTTGGAGGAAATTAAATTACACACGGTAACTATAAAGCGCTGAGTGTATATGAACGGATATATCATGTGTCATGTATTTTGAATCCTGTGTATCAATCCACTTGAAAAGGTGTTAGGTTCATTGATAACTATCTTTCTTGTTGAAATAATAAAAGGAAATATCAAAAATATATTTTTGTTTATTTCGATTAATATACAGATTACCCACGTATTAGTTTTATTCATCATCAAAGACCTTACGGTGACATAAAGTTGTTTACAGCTTTGTTCTTTTTTCTATGGTAGATGATATTCTCATTGGCGCAAACAACATCGTATTTAAATTTAGATTTCATAAGTCAGTAAATTTGTACCTTCCAGTTTTTCAGATAGTTAATTTTCGTTAGAACTATTTTTAGAACTGTTTTTGCAGATATATTTAACACTATGTACATGATGTATTTAACATGTTCCATTTTATTTCAAGATTCAATTGACCAAATGAAATACTTGCATTGTACACACATCATGTAAATACCTCAGCAGTTTACATTGTAAAACGACCGCAACATCGTTCGGTATATTTATTCTCATACAACGCTACGTTATGAAGCAAACGTGAACGACGTTATGAGTTTGCGTTTATTTTACCGAAATGTTAAAAGCTAGTACATGGAAAACGAAGTCAGTGACCCTATTATTGTTTACTTTATTGGATTTTATAGACAATATGACATGAAAGGCTAGTAAAAAATACTCTATTAGTAAATAAAAAAAAAAAATATTCGGTTGATTTACAAGAAATGGAAACATTAAACTATAGACCCAAACTTAAAGAGATTGAGAGAACAATAAAGAGTTGGTCAAACAACTACTGATCTCCAATTGGAAAAATTACTATAATCAAAAGTCTTATAATATCAAAGCTTAATCACTTATTTTCAACATTACTAAATCCAAGCAATGGGTTACTTAATATTAATTTATTTTCTTTTATTTGGGATGGTAAACCTGACAAAATCAAAAGCAAAACAATTTCTCAAATATATGAATTGGGTGAAATTAACATGTTAAACTTAAAACAATATATGAAAGGATTGAAATTAACATGGATAAGAAGAATCATTAAACAAACTAATAATTATTGTAAGTTAATGACTTATTCGGAAAAAATAAAATGAAATGAACTGCTCTATGTAGGTCCAAGAACACATTTGAAAAATTCCCTTTGGCAAAAGGTTTTAATGCTTTGACAGAACTCCAAACTAAAGTAGCTCTTAACAGCGAATATGATTTTATCACATCTAATATTTGTTCAAAAAATGGACTGAAAAAGGAGTCTGGTTAATAAATGTTTGAATTGATAATAACGAACATTTAATGAACTGGCAAGAATTTCAAAAAACATATAATATTGATACCAACTTTCTTATATACCAGGGTGTAATTTTAGCAGGTGATTCTTATATGAAAATTCTTGATATTAAATGTAATCAGATTTTTAAGCTTTAAGGGCTTATTAAACCAATTACTATTACAATAATTATAAAATCTACAAAAGGACGAAAAGTCATGTAAAATAAGAGATTTATTATGTAATTATGGCTTAAGTAATGTATGGTTGACACAAAATGTTTTAAACGTAAATGTTTTTATAGCTGATTTCAAACTTACAGTGTTACTGATAGATTTATATCTGAAGCAATGCCATTTTTAGAGAAGTCTCCTAAATGTCAGTTTTACAAATACATATATGACAATCGTGGTTTGCAGTTTTATCTTAGTAGACCTGTTAATTTTAGATATAAACCATTAATAAGCAAGTACCGTTTACATGCACATAACTTGAACATTGAAACTGGAAGATTTTTAAATATAAACAGAAACGCTAGAATATGTAGTATGTGCAACGGTAATTCTGTTGAGGATGAATATCATTTTATTTTGAAATGTATTAGATATGAAGATAGTCGTATGAAGTACATAAAACCTTATTATTGGAGAAATCCATCAGTATTTAAACTTATACAATTGTTATCAGTTCGTAATATAAAAGAACTTAATAATTTTGGGAAGTATTTATGTATTGCCGAAAAAATTCGTAATCGTTGAATGTGTATATTATACTTCAAGATTGATAAATTATGTTAATTAATATCATGCTCCTAGATTTGTTTTAAATTGTATGAATTGTATATTAATGAATTACTATATTGTACTTTGTGATGTTTATTATATTTAATGTAATATTAATTGTACTTGATACCTGTAGGCTGTATTGCTTTTGGAATAAAGAATATAACAGTATTAAACCAATTACTATAACAATAATTATAATATCTACAAAAGGACCAAAAGACATGTACAATGTTTTAAAAGATAAAACAACAAATATCACATCACAGGAAAAGTTTTTTTTGGGGGGACAATTGAATTTCTCTACAAAATTAAAGTTATACAAAACAATAAATTTACTTTCTGTATGGACTCAATAGAAACCGTAAAACATATATTCTGGACTTGTCCAAATTTTTTGGCGTATGGGAAAAACTCAATAGATGGATATGTACAAAAGTCCAAATTGAACTACCACTTAACTCAGACATAGTTTTATTTGGAATTTGAAAAAAAAACTGAAAAAAACTACATAAGGATAAGAAATTTCATAATAATGTTAGCTAAATATTATATATACAGAACAAAAATGTGATTTGGTCTCTGGTGGGGAGTTTTCTCGTTGGCAATCATACCACATCTTCTTATTTTTGTAAGTAATAGTGTAGCTTTAAAAAAATATCTTAAAAAAAATAGTTTTTTGAGAAAAATCATATTTTATTTTAAAAAGCATTACAAAGAGCGTACTCCTGCTGAAATCCCTGGCTCAAACTAATAGAATAATTATACAAGTAAACTTTAAAGTAATAAAAATATCTTTCCAAATCCAGAATGTCAAGGTTTTTTCACCATTATTATTTATTCATAAATTTTTCAAATGATTCAAAGAACAAACTATATGTATTTGTCTTGATTTTGCCGTTGTTACTATGGACTAATTACCAAAACTATACCATATAATATTTATACATGTATGTTTGCCAATACACTTATTACAAAAAACAAAATATCCTATTGACTTTAGATGTATTTGGTAAAACTTTTCGAAGTTTTGGGTTCGAATTATATCAATTTCGTACATTATTTGGCCTTTTTAAATGTTTTTCATTCAAGCGTCACTGATGAGTTTTTTAAGGCGAAAAAAGCATCTGGCGTACACTGGTATTTACGGTGAGTTTATGTAAAATATGTGTGTACAAAACTACAAGATATGGTTTTACATAAGGGCAATTCCCTTTATTTTTATGCATTTTCTTAAATTTCAGGTACATCTTAAATATGGCTATATCTCGTAAACGAGGTCAGTGAAATATCCTTTGTTATGATAGTTTTCCTGTTTGTTTCTTTTCAATCATTACCCAAGTGCAAAACTTGAGAACGGTTTATTAACTTAAATATATTTTTAAAGTCATTAAAGACACCTAAACCATGTGAAAAAGATGTCGATGGCATTAAAAAAGTTTTTTTAATTATTCAAAATTTAAAAAAAAAGCTTGCATTGTTCTTTGAGCTAATAAAACCCTAAGCGATACCACCGTACATTTTTATAAGGAAGATGATACTGAAAACATCCAGATATACGATATCAAAGTTTGTTCATGCAGTTGAAGAATTTATATTATTGTATAATTTGAAGAAATATGTAAATCGCTTACTTCTTCATATTCAATTTTATAACCTGTACTTTTTTCACAAGGATGTACCTTTGTTGGTAAATAAAAGCAATTGAAATCATCGGAACAAAATAGAAAAAAAAATTCATAACGACCAAGTGTAAAAAAATAAACAAAGTGCACGAAGACTTGCTTCACTGAAAAGGACGTTTTTCTGCACGCAAATGAAGAAATAAATGAAATACACACGATTAAAATTATTCATTAAAATATGAAGTTCGTACAAAGAGTAACCCTTGTAGATTTATGGGTATTCAAATTATTGTTTTTTTTATAAGAAGTGATAATTTCTTTTTTAACATACTATCAAACAGTGTACAATATCTTTAGCAAAAAATTTACAAAAAAGTGAAAAAACAAAAAAACCGAACTCCAAGGAAAATTCAAAAAGGAAAGTCCCTTATCAAACGGCAAAATCAAAAGCTCAAACATATCAAACGAATGAATAAAATACAAAACAGTACGAATAAAATACTATTATTTCATGGAAGAAAGATTTTGACGCAGTTTGAGAGCTTGTATATGAATGCTTCTGATTATGAACTTACGGATCCTTTTATCTATCAACATCACTACGAACTATTACTTAATCAAAATGTGATTTGCAAAGGGAAAAATGTTTTTCTTTTAGTGTTTGTTCATATGGCACCGGGCAATTTTGATTGACTAGCTCAATTAGATCCACGTTTGGATCCATTTTAAAATTTCACTATAAACGCATTGAACATGTATTTGTGCTTGGCAAAACCAAAAATGCAACTCTTCAACTAGAAGAATCCATGTGAAAAAGATGTCGATGGCCTTAAAAATGTTTTTTTAATTATTAAAAATTTTTAAAATATAGCTGGCACTACTCTATAAGCTTAGAAAACCCTAAGTGATATCACCGTATATTTTTATAAGGAAGATGATACTGAAAAGATCCAGATATACGATATCCAAGTTTGTTCATGCAGTTAAAGAATTTATATTACTGTATAGTTTGAAGAAATATGTAAACCTTCATACTTCCTCCATATTAAATTTTTATGAACTGTACCTTTTCCATAAGGATGTACCCTTAAAAGCAATTCAAATAATTGGATCAAAATAGAAACAAAATTCATAACAACCAAGTGTAAAAAAAGTAAACGAAAATAAACGAAAACACAAATTAGATTCACTGAAAAAGACGTTTATCTGATTAAACAACCATTACGGGTGAAGGAAGAAATAAGAGAATACAGAGTGTAGTGGATTAGAATATGAAGTTCGTACAAAGAGTGACCCTTGTAGTTTTTTGGGGATTTACATTATTGTTTTTTAATAAGACAGTGATAATTTCTTTTTCAACATACTATCAAACAGTGTACAACAGCTTTGGCAAAACGTTACAAAACGATACGAATAAAATACTATTATTTCATGGAAGAAACATTTCGACGCAGTTTGAGAGCTTTTACATCAATGCTTCTGATAATGAACTAATGGATCCATTTATCCATCAACATCGTTACGAACTATTACTCAATCAAAATGTGAAATGCAAAGGGAAAAATGTTTTTCTTCTAATGTTTGTTCATATGGCACCGGTCAATTTTGATGGACGTAACTTGATTAGATCCACGTTTGGATCCATTCTAAAATTTCAAAATAAACGCATTGAACATGTATTTGTGCTCGGCAAAACCGAAAATGTAACTCTTCAACTAGAAATCGAACATGAAAGTAAAAGATACATGGACATTATTCAAGGTAATTTCATAGATTCATACAGGAATTTAACATACAAACTTATATTTAGTTTGTTTTGGGTGAATAATTTCTGCAACAATGCAAAATTCGTCATCAAGATGGACGATGATATTATAATAAATATCCCACTCATAATACCCTACCTGGCAGAGAAGTTAAAGGCTGGAAAAACAGTCAATGTTCTGGAATGTAAAACGATAACGAAAAATATTCCGGTTCGTGAAAGGAACAATAAATGGTTTATAACACCGGAAGAATACCCATTCACAAAGTTTCTCCCATATTGTGCTGGACACAGTTCTATAATGTCAATTGACGTTGTAAGAAAAATGTACAGAGCATCAAAGAATGTACCTTATTTATGGTTAGAGGATGTTTATGGAAGTGGATTTTTATCTTTGCTTTTAAAGTTAAATATGTGTATGCCCAAATTTTATTTTGAACCTGTGATAAGTAGTTTATATGATAAGCCATGCAGTTTATTTTATTTGAATATTTTAAAAAATGACACCAATGCACTAGTTTTATGGCATACCATAACACAATATGAAAAAAGAGTCAACTGTACGTTTAGATATTAAATTTGAATATACGCGTTTCTAAATATTCCCTACTGGACGTTAAGCAAACAACATTGAACCAAAGCTTTAACCTTATATATTTCCACATTCAGTGATACGCAAAACCAAGGTAAAAATTCATTATACTTGAAATTTCACATCATAATGAACAAATGAACTCAGTTTTATTTGGCGTTACCACAACTTCATTGAAAGCTACCTACAACTAAAACCGTAACATGATACGGGTCGGACTAGCTATATAATATATGACTTAGCATTTCCTTTCCATTTTCAACATTTGCATACAGATATGTTCATTGTTTTAATGCTCGAATGGCAAATAAGAATTTAAAGATAGAAAATGAGTAAAATAAAATCTCATTAAACAAACAGAAACAATAACTATCACCCCGAGTTTACATACTATTTGACTATGGTCGGATGGAAGAAAGGATTGACGAACACAAAACAACACTGAGGAAAACCATACTTACGACTCACTGTCGCATAAAAAGCTGGTCGTTTTTTATTGTGTTGGCATCTGTATTTGATTGTTGTTTATTTATGAAATAGTAATAACAATATAGATGATGATTGGTTTGGACTGAAGGGAATAACTCCCATTTCATAGTATTTATTTCAAATTAATACAACGTGTCTGAACTCGAAGGGAGTGTCTAAGAGATAGGCATGTGGTTAGGAAGGTGATGTACGTTTCCACAAACCAGCATTACTTGTCCGCCAAATTAATATCACATTTCCGAAAATGTATGATCTTATTTTCCGCACCTTTTTATTTAGTATATATGGTAATTGCCTCCTATGTGCTAGACTGGTTCTCTCCTTTGTAACATACGGGTATCTGATTCCCCTTGAGTCAGAGCCAAACAGATAAAGGACAGGACACCAGTCTACCTATGTGCTTCCTAATTTAGCTACAAAACACAACATAGAAAACTGAAAACTGAGCAACACGAACCCCACTACAAACAGTATACTGTTGTTTTACTTTTAATCTTTTTCGTTTCTTGCCATGGAGTTGTCAGTTTATTTTTGACATGAGTTTGAATGTCCCTTTAGTGTCTTTTGACTTTCTTAGCAGTGACTGAAATAATGAAAAAACAAAGTTACTTCTTCGCATATCAATTTAGCACAATGGGGCTGCTTAGAAATTATTCACCTCTAGCAGATTAAATTATAGAAAATGTTGAGGAACGAACACATGTTAGTTAACAAAAATTGTTTATATATAAAAATTTGATATAGGAAACATCAGAATTAAAAAAAAAAATGTCATGCAGTTTTTAGTTCAGGATTGACCTTTGAGAACCAATTTCTAAATGAGAAACTAGCGTGAAACAGATTTTTATATGAGCATGATGGGTGCTACATGTGTCGCAGGATTTGATTAGCCTTTTGGAGCGCCAGAGATCACCCCAGTTTTAAGTGGGGGTTAATTATTGTTTATAAGTCTTTAGTTTTCTATTTTGTGTGTTGTAGATTTTTTGTTGTTTTCGTACGCCCGTTTACGGGACGTATTATGGTATACCGTTGTCCTTCCGTTCGTCCGTCCGTCTGTCCGTCCGTCCATCTATCCGTCTGTCCGTCTGTCCTGTTTGTTTGGTGACTGGTTTATATTAATTAAGATAACCTCCCTTTAGTTTTTCATAAATTTCTGATATGACATTGAGAAGTTATTGAATTTTATTCTTTGAAAAAGCGACTGGCGTATCATGCGCTCATTGCGCAGCTGTTTATTTGTTTTTGCAATTGCATTGTCAGTTTGTTTTCGACTTATGAAATTTGGATATCGGTTACATCCTTCCTAATTGATTTTTTACCTTTTACCTTTTATCAGTCCGAAAAAATGAATCGATCAATAAAAACAAAAACAAAGCTTACACTTTCTTGTTAAACTATTTAAACGCAACTTTTATTGATTGCATAAACATTGACCACTGCATTGAATTAATTGTCTATTTTACCTGACAGTTTGACGTCATCGATTTTGATATACAATTAAAAACCAATTGTTCAGAGAACAATTGAAGGTCTTTCCACCCATAAAGATCTATTTTGATATGATAATATTAAAATTTGGTTTAAAATGTCATTTCCAGCGTCAAATGATAGCTTACTGAACGCTGACTCCAAAAATATATGGTTTCAATACATTTTTTTTAAATATGGGAGACAATTTGAAACTTCCGGTTTGAAAAATGTTACTTCCTGTATAATTTGAACGTTTACTTGACACTGATTCCAAAAATGTATGGTTCTATATACTTTTATATTAAATAAGTACAAAAAATAGCTACTTCCGGTTTACACAAAGTCACTTCCGGTTGGATTTTCCAAGGTCAAATGGCTTGCAATCTAATGCAAAAAGTCCCATGGATTTATCATGTATACATATGAGGTAAAAGCAAAGGTCAAAATCTAGAACGTCAAATTTACCTATGACCTTGAGCTCAATTTCAAGGTCAATAACTAAGGACCTCAAATCAAAAGACCCTAGGTCTTAATTATATATGGTTAATGAGCTATATCACCATACGCGTATTTTTAAATACAAGAGGGGAGAAAACTCTAATTTAATGTCAACGCACCCTTTAAACCAAAATGTATGTGTTACGACATGTCACAACTAACAATTTAGTAATAATATGTTGTCGATATCTTATACGGTTTTTGAAAAGAAGTGAAAATAAGCCAAAATCAAAATTTAGAATATGACCTTGACCTTTGACCTTGACCTAATTTTCTTTTTTTTTGGACCAAGGACCTCAAATTAAAAGACCCTAGGTCTCTATCACTTATGGTTTACCAGTCAGAAATGCATATCACTTATATCAAATGCATAAGGGGAAATAACTCTCATATGGAGTCTCCGGGACACTTCGGTGAAAACCAAACTCAACATCCTGAAGATATAGCGAGCAATTTGGTAAAATAAATTTGTCGTAATCTTTTACGGTTGCGAAGGAGTAGTGGCCACAAGAAAAACAGTGTTTGGGGAGATAACTCTTACAACGTAAGGTATTTGGTTACGCGGTTGTCAGTTTTAAAAGCGTATAAACTATACAATATCATATTCCAAATATCTAAGCGACATCTTATGAAACAACAAAACTACGCAAGAAGAAAAATTAGGCGGAAGAAAAAAAATAATAATAATCAGAAGAAAACCAATAGGTCTTTCCACGGAAAAGTGGAAAGACCTAATTACAAAGTAGAGGATAATGATTTGAGCCATCACAGTCCATTACTTGTTGACCATGATTAGAATTTGACTTTTGGAGACTTTGAAATTTTTGGCCATGTCCTAGCATTAAAATACGAATATCAATTGCCTTGTTTAGATATTTTGGTGTAGTTTCAAACAACGGATGCCATATGTGAAGCAGGATCTGCTTACCCTTCCGGAACACCTGATATCACCATGATACATAATTTAACAAAGGACTACTAGCAGTTACTGACATGCCAGCTCCAGACCTCAATTAAACTGATTGAAAGATTATGTCTTCATCATATGAAAATCAAGCACAATCCCTCCCGTTAGGGTTTTAGTATCATACCATCATAAAATATATGAGAAGAACATAACCCGTATCATGCCAACAACTGGTTTTAGAATAAATGTGTTTATTTCCGTTGCAAAGACCCTATGACTGAATCAATATTAATACCACAATATGCCATCTTTAATGACCTGACAACAGTATCGTATCTATATCCCTTCTGAATAAGTCTGTTTAAGGTTTGGTTAGCTTTTGAGGTGAATGTCGACATTTGTGTGATTTGTATAGAATATTACCATTAAAGATTGGATGTGAGATACCTGAATGCCTATTAAAGATCAATATAGAGTTTTCTTCGTTCCAATGTTCTTACTATATTGTACGAAAGCCTATTAGGGTCACACAAAAAAAATATTTATCGCGTAATTACGAGATAAATATCTCGTAATTACGAGAAAACTATCGCGTAATTACGAGATGATAATTTTTTATTCCGATTATAACGAGATAATCATCGCGTAATTACGAGAAAATTATCGCGTCATTACGAGATAATTATCGCGTAACTACGAGATAACTATCGCGTAATTACGAGAAAATTATCGCATTGTTACGAGATAATTATCGCGTAACTACGAGATAACTATCACGTAATTACGAGATAATTATCTCGTTATTACGAGATCATCATCGCGTAATTACGAGAAAACTATCGCAAAATTACGAGATAAGATGTTTTTTATCTCGTAATTACGAAATAATTATCGCGTAATTACGAGAAAACTATCGCGTAATTACGAGATAATAATTTTTTTTATCTCGTAATTACGAGATAATCATTTTTATACGCCCGTTTACGGGACGTATCATGGTATACCTTTGTCTGTCTGTCCGTCTGTCCGTCCGTCGCCAACATGTCGGACATTAACTCAAAAACGCTTTCACTAATTTGCATAAAACTTTGGTGAATTGTTTATGTCTATTGACGTGAGCTCCCTTTCGTTTTTTATAAATTTTAGATTTTACGTTTCCGAGTTACAGGGTTTTATTCATAAAAAAAGGGTTATTTTCCAGTTTTCGGACAAAAAATAATAAATGCTTTCAGCAGTTCTTATAAAACTTTGGTGAATTGTTTATATCTATTGATATAATAGCAAAAAATCTATAATTGAATATAAATTCAATTCAAAAAACCAATTTCAAGTTCTTTGACTACATTTATTCAGAAACCTATAATATGTCAAATATTGAATTACAATCCAAATTCAGACCTGTATCAAGCTTGAATATTGTGTCCATTTTTGCCCTTAACTGTTCAGGATTGGACCTCTGCGGGCGTATCCAGCTGCGCTCAGCGAAGCAGTTTATTTAATCTCGTAATTACGCGATAGTTTTCTCGTAATTACGCGATAGTTTTGTCGTAATTACGCGATGATTATCTCGTAATTACGAGATAAAAAAAATGATTATCTCGTAATTACGAGACAGTTTTCTCGTACTTACGCGATAATTATCTCGTAATTACGAGATAAATAACTTCTTATCTCGTAATTACGCGATACTTTTCTCGTAATTACGCGATAATTATCTCGTTATTACGAATTAAAAATGATTATCTCGTAATAACGCGATAATTATCTCGTAATTACGCGATAGTTTTCTCGTAATTACGCGATAATTATCTCGTAATTACGAGTTAAAAATGATTATCTCGTAATTACGCGATAGTTTTCTCGTTATTACGAGATATTTATCTCGTAATTACGAGATATATATTTATTTATTTTTTACCCTAATAGGCTTTCGAAATATTGTGTATGGCAACAAAAATAAATGTTGAGATTTTGAAAGCTTTTAGTGTATAACCAGTTTTAATTGTCAGAAGGAGGAAGAGTTGTTAGACGTGGAAGTCATTTTTCCTACATAGGGGAGAAGTGATAGCAGCTTTCTTTTAAGCCTATTTAGTATTGTAAAATAAATATACAATATAAGTTCAATGTCAGAAAAATATCAACTTTTTTGTATGAAGCTAGAAACTGGTGAGTGGTGAGGTTTAACGGGC